AGAACCATGCAGGTGCTGGAATGAGGTTAAAAGGCCACACATTGCAGTGAGAGAGCAAAAGAGCAGACAAGAGAAGAGGTGTGCTGGACGTGGTAAGCAGAGCAGACGGATGCTGTGAAAAAAACTTCTGCTACACACAGTAAATACCTTTGGCTGGACTTTCTTTGAACTCTCAGTCTTTTTTTCCTGCCAAAAATTCACAAAGAAGATATAATGTTTGAGAACCAATCAAACTGAACTTGGGCACTTATTATCTGTAAATGCCATGATAGCAAAGATGGGTTGTATAATTAGAAAGCTGAATACCATGATATAAAGTGCTTTTTTTAAAAAAAAGAACATAAAGGAAAAATTGCACACAAGGGATCTGATAACCTATCAATATCTGCTTAGCCAATTCCATTTCAAAAAGCATTTTTCCCACCAGTCTCTTCTATGTGACTGGTTGACCCTCTAATCCAGAGTCTGTGTTTTGTGTAAAGCCCATCCATTCCTAAATGGTAATCCCTATGCTAGAGCAAAACTGCTAGTTGGCAAGGAATGTAAAGATCCATGAAGCGTTATTCCTATTTATTTAAGGTGTATATTACAGGCTCCATCAATTAAGCTGTTAAACTTCCCACTATTCCTTTCTCCAAAAAAAGCCAAACAGCCATCGAATGTGTTGTCATGCCAAGGCAATCACTTTGCCATAGTTTGGTGGCTCTTGATTAAATCCAAGCCACATAAATTCTCTTATCCTAGAGAAGGATCAAATCATGAGATTGATAGATTCCTGAGGATCCTGAAATGGATCTGCAAGGATTTCTGATTTTCCAATTGTTTGACAGCAACAATAAAGCTTTTTGTCCTCTTCCCCTCTTTTTTTTTAGTTGTATATGAAATAAAATAAAAAAGTTAGAAAATTGAAATGTATGATTTTGACGTGCATACTTCCTGGCTAGCAGTGGTCGGGTGTATGTGTCTTGTTTCCTCCCTGTCTTCTGGATTTTGTTAACAACTTCTTGATGAAGAATGTTGGAGGAGTTGATGTTTTTTGTCATTTTGGCTGATACTACTAATCTTGAAAGACTTGACAAGAATGTAAGCTGGTTAGCACTTGGATAGAAAGCCACCAAGAAATTTCAGAGCTGTGGGCTTGGACAAGAAAGTAAAATAAATCCTGGAGTAAGGTTAATGGCAAACCACGACTACATATATTTTTTTTGCTAAGAAAACTACATAGTTAGTCAGCATGAGTTAAACTTGAAGGAAACTTTTCTTCTTTAAAATAAAAACATTATCCAGTGGTTGGTATTATTTTTTTCATATAAATCGCCATGTATAAAGGATAGTGAGATTAGTCTGAGAAGTGAAAGCAAATGTCTCTGCTAGGCAAACACATACCCATTTTTCACTATTTTTTTCCTAATCAATTTGATGAACCTCAATGTTCTAATAAATACAATAAGGAAAGTTTGCCATTCTAAGGGAAAGAGTGGTGCTAATAACAGAATAACAGAGTTGGAAGGGATCTTGGAGGTCTTCTAGTCCAACCCCCTGCTCAGGCAGGAGATCGTATATCATTTCAGACAAATGATTGTCCAATCTCTTCTTAAAAACCACCAGTGATAGAGCACCCACAACTTCTGAATACAAGCCGTTCCACTGATTAATTGTTCTAACGATCAGGAAATTTCTCCTTATGTCTATATTTGTCATCTTGATAAGTTTTCATCAATTGTTACTTGTCTTGCTTTCAGATGCTTTGGCGAATAGGTTGACCCCCTCTTTTTATGGTAGTCCCTTAGATATTGAAACACTGCTATCCTATCACCCCATGTCCTTCTTTTCACTAGGCTAGGCATAACAAATTCCTGCAACCATTCTTCGTATGTTTTACCCTCCAGTTCCTAATCATCTTTGTTGCTCTTCTCTGCACTCTTTCTAGAGTCTCACCATCTTTTTTTTATCATGGTGATCCAAACTGGTAGCAGTATTCCAAAGGTGGTCTTACCATAAAGTGATACTAACCAGTAGGATTTTACAATCCAAATCACTTTAGAATCTTGATGTATTTTCAGAGAAAATACATCAAGATTCTAAAGTGATTTAGATTGTAAAATCCTTTCTGGTACAAGATTCTAAAGTGATTTAGATTGTAAAATCCTTTCTAGTACACAAAACTAGAAAGTGATTCTGCAATTATAGTTTAGCTTCCTTCTCACCAGAACCATCTGAAGAAATAGGTAGCAAACATCTGAATCTTGTTTATATTTCTTCATTTGCTTTATCATCAGAACTGATGCAACAATCTATTCTACAAGAGTTAAAATGGCTACAGAATGGCAAAAGCTTTATCTATTGGATATACACCCCTTACCAGCCATCTCCTGTATTCTTCTGATGCACCAGACAATGTTTCTTATAACTTTTGAAAGATTATGGGAAATTTATCTAATTAATCTGGAAGACATCCAATTAGGCTATATACAATTCAATAGCTACAACCAAAGTTAAGCATCACCATATTGGAATATTCATGTAATTTCACAGTCTGGAATATAGTGTACCTAAAATGAATCTATAAAATTAAAGAGGGGCACTAAGGGTTTCATTAAAGACTGTGTGATGTGTTGATGGCTCAATTTTAAAAATCAAGCATTATGTGAAAAATGGATATTTTAGGAATTCTTAAGGACAGCAGATGGTCAGTCACTTAATTTTCCTGTTAACAACAGATACATTAATATAAGAAATATGCAATCTTTAAAGAGTTCAGGGAAACAGCTTATTTATTTGTCACAGATAAATATACTCTCTCTGTCCAATAAGGGAGAGGATATTGGCAAAGGGTTGTGACCAACAGCTTATCTGAAGAACCTAATATAGCAGACTTACATTTCTATCAACGGTGTCTGTCAGAATGTACAGTCAAAGCTCAGGAATGCTTCTTATGTTTCTACTGTTCTGACCTTTAAAAACTGGTACTAGTTTGGCATGGTGAATAAATGCATACTTCCCACCTGGCTGCCAATTGTGATCTCTTCTGGTTACAAGTCCATGTAAAAAGACACGGAAGTCTGTTGTGATAAAGCCAATGACAAGCACTTGCTATAGTGTTGCTATTAATGGATACAAGACTTGTAATTTGCTAAAAATAGGGTCTATATTTGATGAACAGCAAAAACTCAGTGAGATGGTACATCCATATCTACCCAATATACTTCAGTCTGAAAGCTGGGGCTCACATAATAGAAGGCATCTTCCATTCCTGCATTTATGAAACCAATGCATTGAGGAGAAAATTACACAGTCCTCTTTACTACTTCAACATTTAGGTTTGAGGAATATTCAGTTATGTGATCTCCTCCACCACTAATTAATTGTGAAACAATACAACCCAAATACTTATTAGCTTAGTGAGAACTAGGTAAAAGTCAACAACCAAACTTCTCATTAAACTGTGACTAAAATATAAAGGTACATAATTGCATGTTTAAAATAAGACACTGATTGCAAGACTAGGGTTCTTTGGCTTGTATGAATATTGTAAAAGATTGTGGTTATTTAATTGGGTAAGAAATGTCTGCAACAGAGAAAGTAGCTTTTAATTCATAGAAACTTTCCATGAAACAGAAAACTCTTTTACTACTTTGGAGATGTAACAGGAGCAACTAGTTACTATTTATTAATAAAGCAGCACAAGATCAGGAACGGTAGTAAACAGATAAATTGATTAGTTTATAGGAAGCAATAGCAATAGCAATAGCAGTAGACTTATATACCGCTTCATAGGGCTTTCAGGCCTCTCTAAGCGGTTTACAGAGAGTCAGCATATTGCCCCCAACAATCTGGGTCCTCATTTTACCCACCTCGGAAGGATGGAAGGCTGAGTCAACCCTGAGCTGGTGAGATTTGAACCGCTGAACTGCTGATCTAGCAGTAGCCTGCAGTGCTGCATTTAACTACTGCGCCACCTTGGCTCTTCAAGGAAGACATAGAATATATTTCTATAATATATGTTGAGAGCAAACAGAGGTAAGTCCTCAAAGATATCAAAAAGACAAGTAAAGAATTATTGTGTCAATGTTTATACTAATATATTTGACAGATATGGTGGAATTTTAACCCCAGGGTTCCCAGCCAGCATGGCAATTTGGGGAGTTGTAGGACTAGATTGGGGGAATGCTTGGTTTAATGGATTTTTTGATGCTGATTTTAAAATATGTCTTATTTCCAGTAGTAGCAAAAACTCCATGCAAACAGAAGAGATTCTGAATTACCATTCACATACCGTTGTACTCTTTTTGCTAAAACTGGGAAAAATGACTTTCCTTGATTAAAAAGGGAAATACCCTAAAAGGAATAAAGCACATAATTGCAGCTTGCCACCTGCAAGCCTAAGTGTGTTGATGAAAATAGCCCATCTCCCAGTCTAGATCTTGGAGAAAATTCAGACTTAATTTTATTGTACAAATTAGTTGGTGAATTCTTGCTGTTTTCAAAAAAAAAAAGGAAATAAATGTAACATATTTTTTGATCTTTAGCAAATATGGTTTTCTATATATGCTATGGTGATAAATGAATTTTAAAGAGTTTCTGAATTTTAAAGAATTCCAGAACTTGACAGAGACGAGAGGAGAGGAGAGGAAAAACAAAATGTAACTTTAATTTCTGTTAACCATTTTTGTTGTATGTTATAGACCACATGTACTTACCTTGAAAAGATTATATAAAAATGAAAAGACAAATATCATCTTCTGTGATCAATAACAGCACAACACATTTATTATCACAAAAGTATCCTACTGGCAACAGAAAGATTATCTCCCCATCCCAGCTACCTGCAATACTGAATTATTCCTTAATTGCCCAGTATAATGAAGCACAACCTTGAGGGCAAAAATCTAAACTCCCTCCAGCATGACAGGATATGCAATCACTTTTTTTCCTTTTTCTTTACAACAAAAATGCTTGCTCAAGCCCCACAGATCCACCACGTTTACACAATAACTCACTTGCACACTCTGACAGATCCTTTTCAGAGGTGGAGACTTGCTACTTGACCCATCTTGAACTAGTTCTTCTCTTCCTAGATGCTTAACCACAATACACCTTTCCAGAGGGTTCCCCCTAAAATAGAAGAAAGATGAATCCATGAAACATGAATCACTTGAAGAAAATCTCGAACATCCCTGATATTTTAGTTTAGTAAACAAGCTAAATTAAACAGGTAGGATAGTTTATATGGGTAACAACAATAAATAGTAATATTTAAAGGAACACCAAATACTTGAATCATGGTTAAAATTGTATCCAGTCTCATATTAACAGGCAGAATAAATGAATTTTAATAAAAGGTCTTAGTCGCCTCGAGTGACCTTTCACAGATTCCAAATCGTCTTTGGGGTGGTTACCCTATGAAGCAGGGATGAAATGCTACTGGTTTGAGCCAGTTCACCCGAACCAGTAGTAAAAAATGCTACTGGTTTGCCCAAAACAGTAGTAAAAAATGCTTTAAAAAGGTAAAAAAAAAGTTCCAACGATCAGCTGTGGAACAATCAGCTGTGCCACGCAATTTATATTCGCTAGAAAGCAAGAAAACCTGCTTTCTAACAAATCTAAATCGTGCGGCACAACTATTCTCTCCTCTCACTCTTCTACTTACCTTTGCAGACTCAGAAAAGGCTTCTTAGTGACTGCGGTGCGCATGCGCATGAAGCGAACCGGTAGCAGACTTCAGAGCATTTCACCTCTGCTATGAAGTCAACCCATAACATGACAAGATCATGACTGACTTTTATTGTCATTTCAAACTATTACTTTGGGAATATATTTTTACATACACACACATCTCTATATATTTCCTCATACATGATGTAAGAAATTATGGAGAGGCTGAGAAGGTAATTGAAAGGAAAGTAGGGCAGCTTCTTATAAATGCCATTTCAACTCAGATTCCAAGAAACCTGGAAGAAGCATCCCAATCATTCCACAAGACTCTTCCTTAATGAACTCACAATAAATGAGGTTGGAAATTCTTTTACAAGTTTTTAAGATTCTGCATCTACCCAAAGCTAATATTAAAACTATCCTACTGAAATCTGTGCAATGCTTGCTTCTCTGACCTTCTGTCTGGAATGCTAGGGTATTTTTAAAGCTACAGTACATGCTTTTCTTATTCCCAAGGAAACAAATATATCACAAATTCCCTTCATTGAAAAGAACCGTTGAACTTACTTACTTAGCTTTACACTTCTGTAAGGCTTCATCAGCTATCTGCTTCAAGTTAATCAGCTTATCACCTCTATAAAAGGCATCTAAAACAACAAGTAAATCATTAAAGTGGCTCATCAGAATAGGCCAGGTCCTTGAAGGTTGTCCATCGCAAAGGAGGTACAGAATAGTTTAAAGTAAAAGAAAGAGAGAACAATGGATTTAAGGGAAAGGCCAATGCAGTAACAGCAGCAGTTTCTTCAAAATTCAGGGAATTTGAAAGGATATAGGTTAGGATTAGATTAGGGAACAATCAGAAGAAACTAGATGTCCTTTGTCATATCTTAGTTCTGGTATTGGCATCCTCATTATTTCATGACAGAATTAACAGAACTTAACAGAATAACAAAGTTGGAAGTCTTTTAGTCCAATTCCCTGCTCCAGCAGGAAAACCTGTTTGTACCATTCCAGACAAGTGGCTGTCCAAACTTGTCTTATAAGTTTCTTGAATAGCTTGAACAACCTGAATAGCTGAATTTTTTTTGCTGTTGTTGCACATTAAATCATAATGTTGTAGGATCCATTCTGAGTTGGACACTGAGACCAGAGGTTTAGTCTTCTAAGCTTTCAGACTTGTGCTGGAGCTCATCCTCAGGGAACGTTTCTCTCTCCAAAATGTGTCCACTGGGGTGTTCTATATGTAATATTTATGTGGTGTCTGGTTATGTGTGGTTTCTCAATTGTTAATTGGGATGTTATGCTGTAGCACAAAGAAACAACCAATGACTTAATAGCTGGTCACCAACCCCTCAAACAGCAACTAAAAGCCACACACAACCGGGCAACACATAAATAGTACAAATACTACACACAGAACAGCCCAGTGCACATAAGTTTCCACAGGATGGGCTCCAGCATGAGTCCAAGGCTTGGAAGACTAAATCTCTGATCCGGATGATCAATTCCGATTGGCTCCTGCAACATTATCCTGGGACATGTATATTTGCCATGTATATTATCCTGGGACATGTATATTTGTAAAACATAATGGGTCTAACAATTAAATGAATGTAGGTCTTACAAATCTGAAATCAATGTATTTTATTAGAGAAGGATCATCTAATAAAAAGCATTAATTGAGCAAGCCACGGCCTGCTTTTTTTACTAGAGCATGTTTCTGCTTTATGACAGCTAAGAAAACTAAATTATTTTTTAAAAAAAAATACTTTGGACATTAGATCATAGCAACGAAAAGTTATGAATTAAAAATGTTTATAATTCCATATTACCAGAACATTGTTATATTGTAATATGATTGATGAAACATATTCCTGCATGCTTTAACCTGGAAATAGCTCCTTCCTTTAGCAATAGCAATAGCACTTAGACTTATATATCACTTCATAGTGCTTTTACAGCACTGTCTAAGCGGTTTACAGAGTCAGCATATTTCCCTCAACAATCTGGGTCCTCATTTTACCGACCTTGGAAGGATGGAAGGCTGAGTCAACCATGAGCCTGGTGAGATTTGAACTGCTGAACTGCAGCTAGTTTTTATTTCAAAGATGAAGAGTATAAAGTTATCATTAATTATAAACCCAGTTAGATTATGCTAATTATATACTAAAGAACCTACAGGTTATCAAAAAGATATTTACCTGCAGTTATGAGAAGCGAGCAGTTGGAATCTAGAATCCTCTCACAAAGAGATTCTGCTGAAAAGCCTGCAAACTGAAATCATAATCACAAATATAACTACCGAACAGCAGTAGCCGCAACAATGCCAACTGGAACTATTTTGAATAGGATCCCTGACTGTGAGTAGGAATAATGCAGCTATAAATGTTTTTAGCTAATTAGTTAAAAGGCAGTTGAAAACTCTGTTTCACAATACAGCAGAACTCCTTAGAAGAAAACCTTTGTTACAATCAGTGAGAAATGCATTACAGATAATTATAATCACAAATTATAGGCATGTTTCATTGAAACCTAGCTTGATCAAAAATGCTGCCTTTTTCCTAATGTATAAACATACTGTTGAGTTAAGAAGGTTTAAGGATATGTGCTTACAAAGTCCCTCTTGAATTAAGGAAAGTAGGTCCCTGTCTGGCTACTGAATGAGTCCAGAAAAAGGCAAGGCTCCTTTCAGAAGAAGCCAACAAGTATAGCAACAGCAGTCATGCTAGATTAGAAGACCTTTGCCTAATTCAGGTTCAAATACTGCAAACCTTTAACTCAAAGCATCACAGGAAATAAACATGCTTTGCATAAGTCCATATCTGTCATATTCTGTTGAAGTATTTAATGCAATGTTTTGGGTTAAACTCCTTAAAAATCTAGGGAGATTTTTTTAAAAATTAAATTATTTAAGCCTGAGGTCATCTTTGTAAAACAAAGTGATAAAGCAGCCTCTGCTTAGTCAAAAAGGGCATAGTGGCATACTCACCTACTCGAAAGTGACTCAAAATCACAGGGGCAAAAAAGCTAGCTTAGTTTAAATTGCTACCTATGTCATAGTTCATTTCAATTAGGTTTTATTGTACAGTACCTGATCTGCAAAATACAAACAACCATTAGTTGGCAGCAATAAATTGTATCATTTGCTGTACATTTGGATTTGCAGACCACACACAATAGCCCTAATTTTAGTTAGTAACTCATAACCTTCAAGGCTATAATCCAATAAATGTGTTTGTTGAATAAATATTCCTACCACAATAGAATGAAGTGCTCCAATTCTGGCACAAGCTAGCATAGCAACCACCAGCTCAATTATCATTGGCATGTAGATGGAAACTCGGTCTCCTTTCTTCACGCCTGTGAAAAAAAAATATCTCAGATCAGCCAACTAAAACAATTTTTTAGACAACCGCACAAAACATCATAATAATACCTGAAAAATCAAATGAACTTATTGAGCATATAGACATTGGCTAAATTAAGGATCCCAGAGCTAGAGAAGGCATCTTCGCTCTGATTTGATTTAAGCCAGCATCAGGATGAAATAAAGAAATGTTCAACATACACACACACACACACACACACACACACACACACACACACACACTTCTTCAGAAGAACGAGGCCCCGCTGGTCCCCCTCACATTCCTCATCTTCAGGCCACGGCCCCACGCCGTGGAAAACATAGGTGCGTGCACACCCCGCACAATTACAGCCCGGAGCAGGACCAAAGCCCCTCTCCCAACTGGCCCTTTCTCCCTTGGAGGGCTTCAGAGGGAAGCTTCTGCAGAAGCCCAGGTGAGTGAGAACAAGTTCCCACTGTTACAAAATCTCCGAGGCTATAATTGTACAGGGTGTGCGCGTGCACCTATGTTTTCCACGGAGTGGAGCCACAGTGAGGCTCTGCGCAGCTGGCAATGACTCCGGAGCCCTGCTCTGCAAAGAACGCCACTGCCAGGTACTTTTAACCATATATTTTGGTCATATGACTGCAGAATGCTGCAAAAACCCATAAATGTAGGCCGGTTGTTGAGTGTTTCAAATGTGATTGGAACACTCAACAAGGTCACCACAATATGTCTGTGTGTGTATGTGTGAGTGAGAGAGAGACAGACAGACAGACAGAGGCACACAGAGAGAGAGAGACAGAGAGAGAGAGGGAGGGAACCAGAGACAGACAGACAGACACACAGAAAGAGAAAGAGAGAGAAGGGGGAGGAAGGGAGGGAGAGACAGACAGACAGACACAGAAAGAGAAAGGAAGAAAGAAGGAAAAGAAAGAAAAGAAAGAAAAGAAAGAAAAGAAAGAAAAGAAAGAAAAGAAAGAAAAGAAAGAAAAAGAAAGTGGAAGAGAGAGGTGAAAGAAGGAAAGAAAGAAATAAAGAAATAAAGAAAGAAAGAAAGAAAGAAAGAAAGAAAGAAAGAAAGAAAGAAAAAAAGAAAGAAAGAAAACTTATAACCACAATTGAGCCCAAAATTTTGGTTGCTAAGCAAGAGCGTTATTAAATGAGTTTCACATTTTCCAAGTTGGCCATGCCCACCTGGTCACATGACCGCCAAGCCACTCCCACAAAATAGGCCATACCTACAGAATAGGTTCTAAAAAAATTGAAATCCTCCACTGGGGTGTGTGTGTGTGTGTGTGTATAAAGAGTCTTGAGAGTTAACAAGGTTGATACTATATTGTTCAAAGCTATTACAGAATCTAGCTGTTCTGCTTTGGATACCACCTGAAGATAACAAGCAAATCGGTCAGGGAGAGGATGTGTAGCATCCCTGACAATACTGTGGACCCTGGTCAAACAGCACTTATATGCCATGTGATATGACAAACAGTGAAAATGAAATTAATGCTATAAATATTACAGCCAAGGAAAAAAAATGGCAAAATCAAAATTGTAATTGCTGTGAAAATATTGAGAAATGCTGGGCTACAGAAGCAGTTGGTATAACAGAGACGTGTTAAAATATGAGTGTGTTTTGCTTATGGAGTGGCTCTGTGACTTCTTTAACATGTGTGAAGACTAGATCTATACCTGAAAATTGAAATAATTCTGTTATTACTGCTTTATAAAAAGAGAAATGTAGCAACAATTAATGTAAATGCACAGGAGGATTTGTTTGTTAAACATGCCTGAGAATGTTGGCAGAATTCTGCCTGAAAGGTGATAATGAGTGAAACTCAGGAAGAGATTGTGGCTTTTATACTAAGCAATTTATAGATTAGATTTTCAACTTTGCTTTTCAACTTGTCATTGAGAAATAAATGAGGCAGTTTATTGTACATATATTGATTTAAAGAAAGTAATAAGGAATAAGTAATAAGGAAATAATAAATTTGATTTATGGAATGTTTTGTATGGTAGGACAAGGATCAGATTTATGGATAAATGTGTAAGATGTGTTTATGGTAATATGAGAGATGTGTTGCTTGGAGAAATGAATGTATTTGTATTTTTGTATGCAATGAATGTTAGGTTGTGTGATGCAATAAAAAGTATGACTCTGAAAATGGATGTGCACAAACCAAGTTAATTGTGTTTGAAAAGGAAAATGGAGTAAACCATTGTAGGAAATGACTAGTACATATGTGCAAGGGGAACCTTTGCCTTTATTGTATATTTTACATAAATGAAAAAAACAGAGCATGTAGATGAAAGTGTCTGCCTTCACAACGAATTTATTGAAGATAGAGAAATTTTGATATGCAAATACTGGCAGTAATGGATAGTAAAATGATCTTCTATGTGGAATGAATGCTGAAAGAAGTAAAACTATAATGAATGTTTTTCTACCTACTATGTTATATGAAAGTGAGGGCTGAGTAACTCAAGGAGAAACCAGAAGTTTATGGGATAAAACAAAAATAGGCAGCATCAAGAATCAATGAATGTTGAAAGAATGTGGACTGAATTTAACAATGAGAGACCAACATGAAAGAGGAATGATCATACTGAGAGAATAAATGAGGATAAAATCTTAAATTTTTAAATTTTATGCTACATAATTTTATTTTATAATGGCTACATGCATCAGTACAGCTAGTAATATTCCTATAATCACTTGTAGTTTGAAAAATAATTGTTTGGACTACCAACATGAAAATATATTTGCTAGCTCTGTGCCAGATAGCAAGAAGACAACAGGTGACAGTAATAATTTCAAACACAGTTACTGCCTTCATGCATACTGCCTTACTCATCAGTATATTTCTATTCTATTACTCAGGAAAACTTCGGTATAACTGGTTAGGAACGTACTGCTTGAGAAATTTTAGGCTTCATTTAGGGTGGAAAGTTATCAACGTGTATAATGTTTTCATAGTAAGCTGTGATATTTAGCATTCCTCAGAAGGGGAAGACACTCTGGTTTATAAAATATGTACAAACATACAAAATATACAAGTGTACAAAATCAGAAGAGATGGGTGACAAGATGCTCTATCCGGGTATTTCCCCTTCAAACACTGCTGTCAAAATTACACTCCTGGTTCTTAAATGTTTCAAGCTAAACACCAGGAATGGAGCATCTCAACAAATACAGAAAATAGTTCATGGCATAAATTTATTAAGAGCATGCAGGGAACCAGCTGATCTCAGGAGTGGAACTTTCTATAAAGATCCACAGGCATGATAATATAATATAATAAACATAATATAATAAACATAATAAACATAGTATAATAAGTATAGTATAGTATAATATAATATAATATAATATAATATAATACAATACAATACAATACAATATAATTAATATAATAATATAATATAATATAATATAATATAATATAATATAATATAATATAATATAATA